GCGGGGGCGGGGGGCGCTGTGGCGGGGCCGCCGGCCGGCTCCGGGCCTCGTTCCGTTCCGTTCCCTCCGTCCCGCCCTTCCGGACGGGCGACAGCCCCTTCTCGTGCCTCCCCTTGTTCCCTGGCCGTGTGACCTCGGGCAGGTCACGTGACCTCTCTCCCGGATGGGAGTAAGACTCTGCAGAGTGAGTGGATGTCACAGGATGCCACACACAGGCGACGTCACAGGCGACGGCTCACGGGTGACGTCACACAGACGACATCACACAGCAGCGTCACCGGCGATGTCACACAGGAGGCGGCACGCGGTGACGGCACGCGGGGGACGGTGTGAGGCCCTGTGGCAGTGGCCGCTCCTGCCCCCGGCCCCCACCCCTTCAGGAGCACAGATGCAGAGGAGGCGGGTGCCCCGTGGGGTGCCGCTCCCCACCGTCACCCCATCTGGAAGAAGGGGGCGGCTCCGTGTGCTTCCCGAAGCGCAGCCTTGCAGAGCAGAAACATGCACTTTGAGGCGAGAATGACACTTTTCATAAACTGGCATTTTTTGTGCTCGTCGTCAGCAGCTTTGTGACACAGATGTGGATCATGTGATATTTTGAATCGAAGGTTTAAAATAAGAAAATGATGTCTCCCCAGGCTAAATCAAACAGGCGTAAAAATATAACAGGAACAGTCTGCATCACCGGAAAAATAATCCTCTCGTCTGAGGCATCGAAAATGACATTCCAAAAAAAGGGTGATGCAGAAAATGACCGCACCACAGGGGGTCCTCCGTGCCGGCCACAGCTGGTCCTCGTCTCGGCTGAAGCAACCCCTTCTCCACCCTCGACCCCTCCCCCAGGGGCTGCTCCGCAGAACAAGCCGCCCACGGGCCCGGCCGCCACCTGCTCAGCCCGCAGACTCTCGGCAGCCTCTTTCCCGTCCAGCCCCTGTTCACAGCCCAGGGACGGGTGACGCGCTCGCTCGGCAGGCATCGCAGGGTCCCCCGCAGGGGTGGGGGCGACCGTGTCAGGCCTGGTCGTGCTCCTGACGCCGCCGTGGCTGCCCGTCACCCGTGTGGCTGGAGGGGACAACTCACGCCACCTCGCGGGGCCGCTGTGAGCAGCGTCACAGCACCCTTTTCTGTGTAAGTCTGATCTGCGCGCTTGGTGGCCCACCCAAGTTAGGTTCCGATCGAGGTCAGTGCTCTAAATGGAACCCTCGGCAGGGGACACGCGAAGCCGTGCTCAGAGCACTTAGGACACAGGCCGAAGCCCGGCCGGACGGCTTGTGCCTGACGGAGGCCGTCCTGGAGCCAGGCGCGGGCCCCCCTCACGTCCCGCCTCACGTCCCACCTCACATGGGCCGAGGAGGCCGTGCGGAGTCACGCCCAGGTCACAGAGCTGGACAGTCTGTCCCCTCTGCCACACGGCAGCCCCCGCTCGGGCACAGACGCTCCCAGGGCCAAGCCTTCCCAGCTCTGTGGCCGCGTCTGATCTTCCGGGTGAC